TGAGTTTGAGGCTGCTTTGCCCGTTGTCTTAGAAGTTCTTGTTGCGATGCTACAAAGTCTAGATGTGGGACCCAGCTCACTGATAGCTCTCAGGTCACTGAGGTCGCTGAAGGTAAAGCCATCCTCTTCAATAGGCTAATGACAACATCGTCTCATCACACATTTAATAGTCTGAGACTATGTTCCTTAGTTTTGTTCAGCAGAGCCAATTCTCTCACAACAAAGCTCACCTGAAGCCCAGGTACCTGAACTGAGGACAGTATGGCTGCCCCGGTCAAAGGAGGGTGGGGGACCCAAACGAGAGCACACGTGGAAGCCACCGATTTAGGGTGATGCCAGTGTGGAGACGTGCTAGGGGCTGTGGCACCTAGGGACGCTGCAGGGCTGCCTCACTTGCAGGATGCCCACAATTCCAAAAGGGGGCACTGTCATCGGGAGGGCCAGGCCCTGACCCTGGCTAAGATCATCTCCTTTCCCAGGCTCCTACAACGGTCCAGAAGAGTCAGGGTCAGCTCTCCCCGGGAAAACCCATGATCCAACCTCTGCTCTGCCCACTACAGGTTCTAGCTATCAACTCCTGAGCCTTTCCGGGCTTCCAAATTGTGAGCTGGGTGTTTACATCAGTGCTGCAAAGCCTCCAAACCAGCCCGTGCCTCTGCATTAGGAATGGAAACATTTGCTGAGCAAAGGCGGCCAAACGGAGACACGTAATTCCCCCTTCCTTGGTAGGGGTCTGCTCTTCTGAGGAAAACGAGGGTAACCTGGCAGTTAGGATCAGAACGCCTGACTACCCCCAAGATTGACCCGGAGAAGGACAAAGGCACGATGTCTTTTCCCCTTGCTGGGGCTCCTCCATACCCCGTGTTGAGGGCTGACCTTCCTTCCCTGATGGTGGGAGGGGCAGGCTGCTTTGGCCTGGGTGAGTTTCTCCCGCCTCTCCCCAGCCTCAGTGTGAGAGGTGGGAAGATCGAAGCAGAGTCAGGACTGGGAAAATACAAACGAGTGCAGTGACATTCAAAAAAAAAAAAAAACAACAAAAAAAACAGTTGTTTTTGGAAGTAATCCCCTCGTTGCTACAGTTTAGCCTCCAAAAACTACATCCCGTTTGGACGTCTGGCCAATTCCAAGGAAAGTTCATGTGAAAGAGGGTATAAAGGGTATCACACTTTACAGAAAGGCAGTGCTGAGTGGTGGGTAGGTGTCTGGGCTCTGGAGTCAGGCTGTGTCCGAATTGTGGCTCTCCACAGGTATACACGGTGACCCCAGGTATGACATCAAGCCTCAGCTTTGTCATCTCTAACACGGGAGCGGCAAAACAATCTCCCCCTCTAGAGATGTTGTAAGGATTAAACATGGCATTTAGCACAGTGTGTGGCACAGAGGAATGTATAAGTTAATGCTTGTTTTGTTAGAACACAGGGGTTTGGCGAAGACTATCTAGTTGGGCAGTCAGCACCTCCAAACTGAACTTCTCTGTCTGGGGTAACGTTAGGGAATCTTCCAGAAACGACCTACCTTCGGCTGCTGGGTCCTGGGGTCCTGGATGTGTTCCCAGTCTCTGCCGTTTAGGCTGTAGGAGACTTTGAACTTGCGCACAAACGCCCTGGCTTCCACGGCAGTGATGCTGTCTCCTCCACGAGCCCCCTGGATGATGATGCCCTTCACCGTCTTGGGCACTCCCAGGTCCACCTGCAGCCACTCCTCGCCCGGCTGGGCCTGAGGGACCCGGGGGAACCAACCCGAGCGGCTGCTGACGAGGCGGGCGGCGCTGGGGCTCCAGAGGTACTCGCGGGTGGAGGAGGCTGAGATCTGAGAGTCAGGGATGAGGCCCGAGAGCATCCCCAGCATGTTGGAGCAGGGGGCATCTGTGGAGGGGAGGAATGCAACAGCTCGTGGCTGGCACCCTGCTTAACGGGTACCACCTCCCGTTAATAGGGAGCTACAAAAGAACCCGACCATCAAACGCTGTCGGCCAGCACCGATTTCTTTGCGTTTCAAGCACGGTGGTTAAGAGCCCAGACTGGCAACCAGACTGCCTGGGTCCACGTTCGTTTTGTCACTTGCTAGCGGTTTGACCTTGGGCAAATGATTGAACTGCTCTGTGCCTCAGTTTACCTAGGTCTAAAAGGAGGGTTGGTGGCAGAACTTACCTCTCGGGGGTTGTAAGGATTCCATAAGTTACTACATGAACGCTCATGGCACAGGGCCTGGCACATCTCAGCGCTCACACTGTTAGCCAAGGGCTCTCGTATCCTCGCCAGTGACACCAGTCCCCACTGAGCCTCCCAGGGCAGTGAGCGCGGGGGGAGTTCAGCCGAGCCCTGAACTGCTTCCCGGGTGACTGCTTTCCCAACTGGATGGACACGTACCTGGGGTCAGGTCTTTGCTTCCACCTGTTATCACCGCTCGTTACTACCTTGCATCCTTTGCACGTGCTGTTCCTCCCACTCCAAATGCTGTTCCCCTCAATCGTCATCAGGCTAACCTTTACTCACCCCCAAGCTTAAGTGTCGCGTCCTCAGAAAGGCCATCCCCAAATTTCTAATCAACAGTCAGGTCCCCTCGGCCACTGTTTCTTGGAGCACCCTGTTCTTTTCCTTCCTACACGCATCCTAGTTTATAACTATCCAGTGCTTGACGATGTTATTATCTATGTTGCCCACCAGCCTGAAAAAGCGTCATGATGTTAGAGACCCCATCTGCTTGTTCACTCTTCCTGTCCACTTTCACTCCCAGTGTGGGGCCTGGGGCACAGCAGACCTTCAAAACACACTCGTGCCGCCAATGACCGAGTGGCTAAGACACAGATAAATGGCGTGCGGCAAGGCAGGGTCTGCAGTCAGGGTGCATTAGATGCTCATAAACTGAGTTCCAGGTGAAAGCGGACCTTCGGGAAAGGTCACGTGGTGCAATCATGCTATGGGCAGCGGGCTGGAAGGGGGAGCAGAGCCCAGGGCACCATCAGCTCCCCAGCCTTACTGGGGCACCCCCTCACCTGTGACTCGGCAGCCGAAGAGCTCCAGCCGCAGGGCAATGCCGGAGTGCCAGGTCTGGGGCCGGACCCTGACGAACCTGGTCAGGAGCGGCGTGTGCAGCTTGTTCAGAACCACCTCCGTGGCATCGTTGTTGGCTTGGAATACCTGCAGCGGAAGACGGGAAACCGCCGTTGAAGTCCCAGTTTGTAGGCTGGCCACTCAACACAGTCCTTGAAGGCAGTGCAAAAGTTCTGTTGAACCTTAGTTCCCTCCAGTTTAAAAAGAATCAGTGCGTTTGTTGTTTGGGGCTTTGTTAGAAGCCCCATGAAAAAAAAATCTAATGGCTCACACTGCTCTCATGTGAAAACAATAAATGGTCTTCACAAAAACTTTTAAGGGAAAGGAAAACTTTGCCTCTGGCCGAGAGCAAGCAGAGGGAAACACGTTTGCCTTGAAAAGGAAAACGCTTTCAGGAGCGGAGAGAGGGAGAGGCACAAAAAGTGGAACATTCTTTAAAAATGGAGCCGAAAGGTCATCTTTTAGGGCTGGCAGACCCCACCCACTAGCTTGAACTTGATGCTCCCCCTCCGTCATGGTGCAGGCATATAGGAATATTCACAGGGTATTTTTATAAAGTGCTTCAACAGTTGTCTTGTTAGTTACTTTGAGGCCTCCCTGCTCCATGAGCGGGTGAGAGCATGGGGCCACCCACCATCTACCCCTAATGGCCCTGTGTCAATCAACACTTTTTTGGTCCTCTCTGGTCTTTGTTGTAGGGTCAGGGTTGCAGACAGTCTCTCAGAGTCCTGCTCTGGCTTCCTCTCACTGTAATCCCCGCCCTGTAATGAAATCCATCCCTGTCCCCATCTGACCAATGCATCTCTTAGGGGAGGAAAGGCTTTTGGGAGTAGCTTCTAAGCCAACATGGTAGGAGTAAGTCCTAGTTTACCAGATGGCCCAAATCAATAACTGCCATATGGACCTTATGCTTTTCTGTGCTCTCCATTAAAAAAAAAAAAAAGTAGCTTGTGCAAGTATATATGAGTTTCTCTTGGTTTCTCTGGCTAAGGGTGGAGGGAGAGACCAACCAACCGTCACTTCTAAATCATACCTGTCATAGCTCTAACAATCAGGAGACTTTGCAAATCTACTCACGGCCAACTCTGCAACACCTAGCAATTTCTTCTGGGTCGAGGGACTAAATACTTCAGCTCATGATACCTATAGCATGCCAGGTATTTGGGCATGACAGGGCTGGGACAAGACGATGGGGAAACTGGGATGTTTGAATACCCCTGAGCCAGACACTGTGTAAACACAAATACCTCTATAATGCCCCAGAAGGTAAGTATTATTTCTGCTTTATTGACGAGAAAATGGAGGCTCAGAGATGTCTGTCTGGATCCAAAGCCCCTGCCATGTTTTTAGGCTGTAGGCTTGTGTGTTCCTACGTTGACTGTCATCTCTTTTAATAAATTTGCAGCGTTTATGTTGGTGGCTAGGAGTCTTGGAGCCCTCAAGGTCTCCAAGCATGGGCTGAATGGAGGTGGAGTTGCTGTTCAGGGATGTGTGTTTATAATCCTGACATAGAAAGCTCTAGGTCACAGGAGTGGGCTGCACGGCAGCTTAGAGCTAATTAACAACGTGGTTCTTTCTTTCCCATGAACTGTAACTAGGAACTCTGCCATTTGGCAACCTTAAACCCTTCATATTTCCCACTTGCTGAGGTCAAAAGTTAGAGCCATTTAATAGCACAGCACTGATGGGGGGGGGGGGGGGGGGGGGGAGGAAGGGTAAGAGACGCTACACCTTTTGCGACCAGATGAGGGGAGGTGGCTCATTTAAGACAGATGGAAGAAAGGCGAGGAGGAAACAGGTTTTCACTGGCCTACCATATTCAGTTTAAACCTCTTGTTCCTGGTGCTAAGCCCACCGACCCAGGGGAGCTCCCCCCGACAGCCTGCCCAGCTTGCTGCTTCCCTTTCCTTGCTGGGGAGCCTCCTGCCCAGCCCTGAGGCCAAGTTCCTTCCTTTGCTGCCTTGCTAACCGCAGGGAGTAAGAGGCAGAACTGCTTGACCACCGGTCTCTCTCACAGGTTTGATTTGGCTGCTTCCTTTACAGTGATGGGGGACAAAGAGGGGCGAGAAAACAAAACAAGGGAAGAATGGCCAGGGAAACAGGAGCAAAGAGGCTTAAGGTCAGACACCTGGGGAAAGGCCGATGAGGAGAAGGGGAGAGAGGTACCCAAGCCTCTGTGATCTTAATCTTGGAGAAGGATGACCGGAGGAGGAGGGGACAGGGTGCAGGACGGCTCTGGCCCGGCCATGCCCACTCCATGGCTTCTCGGGTGCTTCTAAAGGACTCTGCAGCTCTGAGAAAGGAATGGAGGAACTGAATCCAAGAGAAGGAGATGACTCAGTCCTCCTAGAATTCAGCGTGAGGCAGAAGCTCTTGTTTGTTTGTTTGTTTTTGTTCCTTTGGCAGGGCAGAAGCAAATGCAGCACTTTGCTTATTTGGGGAGGGTGCTGGGAGCAGTGGGGGGCCACCACCAGCCTGCTCCCTGAGGACGGTGACGGTGACTGTGTGTGGCCTCCATCCGGAGATGCTGAGGAGTTCATATGGGGGGGGGGAAGCTTGATTTGTCATGTGAATACAGAACTGGAGCGTTGAGTGGATTTGAACTTTAACACAGCTGCTAATCCACAACATATACACCACGCTGGTACCGTTTAGAAACACAGCACGTCTTATGTGTTTTTAATATCCAATTTTATCTTATCTGACCCCTTCGTTTTTCAGCCTTGGCAGACAACAGTGCGAAACCTTTCCTTCCTCCCGCTCAGTAAGGAAATGACTGTGTCTTTGGACTGCCTTTGGGCGGCTGGCATGTGCGTGAGTGTGGCTGCACGTGGGCGTGGCCACGCGCACACATGAGTGACCCAGTCTGGCGAGGGGGTTGGTCTTCCCCCAGAGGCACGAGGTCCCAGACTTTGGGTGAGCCCCCTGGATCTCTGCCTACGGTGGCCCCAGTCGGAGAGGGGACGGGCACGCGGTTTCTCTGCTGAGGCCACCTAGCTGACCGCTCCAACTCCGCGTCATTCTAATTCCGTTTTGCTCACTCTGCTCCTGCCCCTGCCTGGAACCACATGAAGCCTCATTCAGTGTGGCCTCAAATTATCCTTCTTGGTTTCCTGTTTGCCCTTGACTTTGTGCTCAGATCTGCCCCTGCTCTCTGGACCCTTTGCTGAAGGAATCCCACCTTGTTTGATTAAACCTGTGATACACCTTTCACACTGAGTGTGGTGGAGTGGGGAAAAAAAATCCTCGGACATCACTGAGGCAGGAGCCAGGACAGACACTGCGCTGCCGATTAACTCGGAAGTGTGGGCAAATACCTCCACCTCCCCCAGGCCTCAACTTCCTCCTCTATTAAATGAGTTGATTTGTAAGGTCTTTGCTGGCCCCCAGATTCTAAGGCTTTCTGCATAAGAGTGTCCAACTAGAACTGCCCCAGCAATGTAACAGGGCATTTTAGTTGTCCATTGTCCCTTAGAGCCTGAGTGCTTTTGTAGACGAGTGCTGTGGGTCTTAATACGCTTCAAATAGTGCCCAAAACACATGCCCCACTCAGAGGGAGAGTATACCTTGTTGATGTTTTCGCTCAATAACGGTTCAAATTATGAATAATGAAAAGTAATGAATAACAACACCTTAGTCCTTACATATTGTCTTGCACCCAAAGATATCAAAGTGCAATTTATGAAAATCCATTTTTAATGAAATATTAAGCAGTTTCTATTTCTCCTGACCCAATGGATTTACAAGGTCTCTATTTTTCTCCCTGCATCTTCCTATTTATAGCTGGTAAATGCTATCATATATTATACATCTTTATGACTTTCTCAATGCTTCTGTGGTTTCAGAATCACCCTTCATATGTTTTCTGATCAAATTCTCGGAGATGGATTCTTGGCATCTCGTCTAGGCGCTGCAAGGTAAGGGGTTGTGTGCATGGGAAATGATGCCAGGAAATTGGTTTTATTCCCTACTCCCTGCCGACTCACTGAATCACTATAGGCAAATCAATAATCCTTAGATACCTTGGTTTCTCCTTCAGGAAGATAAACTCAATAACAGGCTTGCAGGTGAACGCTAAAGTCTACCAGCCCTCCCCGCTGGCTCCAATGCCTGCACAACACCCAGGACAGATGTTACAGTGAAAGCTACATCACAAGTGACAAATGGGTCTCTGTTCAAAGGGGAGGGTTCAAGTTCTAACAGCCATTGACTCTCATGTCCCACTTCGAGGTCGTAACTTGACAGTAAGGTGTCCATAATGCTGAGAAGAATCAGTGGATCGTCAGTATATGGTACACGCCCAGATAAGCATAAGACACCCAGATCATCAAACTGTGATAACATGATAACATCTGTTTTAAAAGCTGGATGTCGCAGATGGTATACGTTTTTGTTAATTTTATTTTTTTTTCAACGTTTTTAAATTTATTTTTGGGACAGAGAGAGACAGAGCATGAACGGGGGAGGGGCAGAGAGAGAGTGAGACACAGAATCGGAAACAGGCTCCAGGCTCCGAGCCATCAGCCCAGAGCCTGACGCGGGGCTCGAACTCACAGACCGCAAGATCGTGACCTGGCTGAAGTCGGACGCTTAACCGACTGCGCCACCCAGGCGCCCCTGTTTTTGTTAATTTTAAAAGAAAAACTGGGGCACCTGGGTGGCTCAGTCGGTTGAGCGCCCGACTTCAGCTCCGGTCATGATCTCACGGTTGGTGAGTTCGAGCCCCGCCTCGGGCTCTGTGCTGACAGATCAGAGCCCGGAGCCTGCTTCCAATTCTGTGTCTCCCCCTCATGCTCTGTCTCTTTCTCTCAAAAATAAATAAACGTTAAAAAAAAATTTAAGAAAAATAAAAGAAAAATGCTAATATGGTTGCTTTACCACCCCAAAAGAAAACCAGAAGTGTATTCAAGTAGGGATGCACAACTAGTGTATCCCTAGTTTTTTTAAGAGGTAAGGATAGCATTGATTGATGTAATTATTAAAGTGTGTGTGTGTGTGTGTGTGTGTGTTGAACACATAGATTTCTTCAAGTGCATCCCTGTAAACCAAGTTTAAAAAGGAATTCAGTGCACAAAGTGGTTTGGATAATCCATTTGGTGCCTCGCTGAATTCTGAACATAATCCAACACTTTCCAATTGATTCTTGAGACCTTTGGTTTACTTGCAGTAAGACAGAATCTGAGACCAGCAGCACTGCAAAGATTTTCTGATTTGCGCCTCTGGGGGGAGGGGGCACCTGCCAATTAACTTGGCTGCCACCCAACATCCCAGCGTGGTTACTTTCTATACCCCACCCAGGAAAAGAAAACCACCATGTTTTGACCATGCCTACGAGCTCCTAAGGTGTGGAGTATACCAGCACGTGAAATGAAAGAAAATAATATATGTGATCTAATAGGAAACATCTAGCCGGAAGGCATCCCTGATGGTTTTGAGGTCATCTCTTCTCTGTTTTTCATCCCCTTTCTTGTTACAGCCACCGTTCCCCGCTGACCTGTCCTTAAGTCTTCTTTTAAGAGTATGCGGTGACTCTAGCAAAGCTGAGAACAAGTGAAGTGCTGGCCAGGTGGAGGCCTCTCTGGGCAGGGGTGTTTCCTGCCAGGCCCACATCCCTCGCCGTCACCCCCCTCATCTCTGCCATCAGCACTCAGGTGCCCGGGACGGCGTGGATGCTTCACGTCCATCGCAGGCTTTGAGCTTCTTGGCAGAGAGATAAGGTGCAGGCTCGCGTTGTGAGCCGGCTGCTTAACCTTCCTCAAGCAGGCAGGCCCTATAGTTGACACATGCGGGCTCTCGTCATGTGCACCGTCTCCCATCCGAGTAGGGCTTTGGTATTCAGTCTGCACACGCCTGTCTCTTCATTACCTATGGCATGACCTACAGTTTATTCCGATTTTGCTGTAAGTATCTGAACGTGGCCAGCTCCAGGGACTGCAAAGAAAGCAGGCAATTTTTCAAAGGCAACACAGTGCTGGAGCCCTGAGGTAGAAATTGTGCAGGAGACGTTCTTCTTCTTCCTCCCCTTTTTTTAAAATAAATATTTCTCTCTGCTAATAAATGTTTCATTGCATCCAAAGTTCTCCTTTTCAATCTACTTGGCACGGACACTCAAGGAGGAGGAGAACAAAGCAGGCAGAAGGGAGAGGTGGCAGGAACGGAGGGCAGAAACTGGGGAAACCAGTGGCAGATTTTAAAAATTTCTCTCTGAAACAACTGAATGGATTCATCCTTACTGCAGAACCAAAGGCCTGTCTGCTCTCTCCCACCCTCTTCCCTGGCATCTTCTCTAAAACCAGCCACCGGGCCTACACATAAAAATAAATTGTTAATCAATGAACACCATCCTGTTTAATTAATTTGTTGCACCAAACAGGCAAGGGGTGGGGGAGGGCAGGGTAGGGGGGCTGTTGCACTCAGGGACAACGATGTTAAGGTAATGGACACTTTTTTTTTTTCCTTTTTGTAAATCATGGCCCTGACAATTCTCTCTTAAGACTCCTCCTTAAAGACTATAAAAAAATTTTTTTAAAGCTGCTTTCATTCTAGTGGATGTGGGAACTTAGCCAGACACAGAGTCAGAAGGGATGTATCTCATATAGATGTGTATACATATACAGATATGAGAGAGAAGTGGGGGAGACTTTAAGGGAGGGGAAGAAGGGGGGCAGAGCAGAGAAAATTCCTTAACCACCAAATGCTCATTTATGACCATGATGCCCTCCTGTCTCCTGCTCCTTTACTTAGGGCTGTTTTTGTCATCAAGCAGCTCTGCTGATGCAAAGGAGAACACAGAGGAGCAGGGACATGTCATGGGGTGGAGGGCGGGGGAGGCCGGTTTCTTCCTGAGGGTGAGGGCGGAGGTGGGTGGGACGTGTGCATCCCATCTGTGTGTGCCTTGTGGGTTCCCGTTAGATTTACTGCAGGATTATGTTACCCCCATCGAGACGCCGAGCCCTGGAACACAGCATACTAACAGGATTAGGGTTTTGGGACTGGAGACAGGAAAGCACCAAGGAGAAGAGGAGGGGAGGGCAGCTCAGGGATTTGGGGCTAGAGGAGAGATGGTGTGGGGGAGAGTATAGCATCAGAGCAATGAAAGGGAGTGGCCAATGTCCTCCCGGGAAGGTCGGGAGAGAAACACAGGCATTCTCACATTGTCACATTTTTTGAGAAGGTGCCTTTAACTTGCAGGTGGGCAGAAGAGAGCGTGAAAGGGTATGGGAGTCAGGCTCCGGAGACTCTCTGCCAACCGCATTCCTCTTCCGGCGGAATCTCAGCAAATCTCAGAGCAGGGAAATGGTGATGGCAAAGAACCCGACAACCTACCAGATGAGGTGTTCACTCCAATGCTCATCTAGAGACGCTGGAGTTAGGGCAAAGAAGAGTTCTTCCAGCCCCAGCAGAATCACTACACCCTTTTATAAGCCCTGCTCACTCGCTCTGTCCCACTGGCCTCAGTGCACAGCAGTGAGATGGAAAGCATTGGGAATTTGGCAGGGAGCATCGTAAGCGCCAGGGAGGCTGGCCTCAGCTCCCAGAGACAATTCAGCACTCATGGGAGTTGGGTGAAGCCGGCCACAGGAGCCTGATAGAAAAAAGGTTCCAAGCTTATGTGTAATGACATTTTCCCTTGGGCTTCCTAAGTGGAGAGGCTAAGGGTCTGAGCTCATCCCATGGCAAATGGATAAGGGACAAACTTAATTACGTAGGGCCCTGGATTCTTCTCAGTTATAACTGAAGGGGGCAGAGAAACCGGGGGACATGAATTTCGAAAGGGCATCGGCTCTCTTCGGAATATACGCAACCCTGGTTCGACGAGGCAACCATACGCATGGCTTCTGAAGGCTGAGGCTATTTCCCAGCTGACGGCTTGTGTCATTGTCGTCGTCTCATACACAATAAACAAAAACTACAATGAAAAGGATAAGGGGAATGCAGTCATCTGCCAGGAGGTTAAAAAAAAAAAGGTATTTTTTGAAAACTGTGAGTTGTTAATTAGGGGAACGACTGCATCCCTCACAGAAGACTGGAGCCGAGGAGGGCAATGTTCATCTCAGGCAGCTCCAGCACAGGGCGCATCAGATGCAGGGAAAGGTCTGGGTGACTTATCAGGTCACCTTCCAGACTTCCGATCTTAAAGGAGGCAGATAGATATCCCATGGGGCCTTGTTACTTTTTAAACTGATAACTTGCTTCTGCTCAAGAAGAACTTTGTGGGTCTAATACATTAATTCCACCTGCAGACAGCCTTCCATCTACAGATCCCAAGGTGCTCTGCCAAGAGCCGCCGCAGCACCATTCCATTTGGGCAGGCGGAAACATTGAGGCATGGAGCCATGAAGAGAAATTTCCAAGGTCACACAGTGCATCATCTAAGGGGATCTGAAAATAGACGCCGCGTGGTTCCGTTTGCCTACTGATTTGGGGGGTTTGGTTTCAGGACACCACTCTCTCTCCTCCTAAGTCTCTGATAATTTCAGACGGTTTTAAATTCTCAAGTGGCTTTCGAAGTCATTTGTTTTAATCCAGAAAATAAATATAGGGCAGAGAATTTTCGAAGTGAGGTGTTTAAGTGTCTTGAAGGGATATGGCCGAATCAAACGCAAAGCAACTCCATCTTCAAGATTCTAGGATGCAGCCCATTCTGTGATGTAACTCCAAGAGCCTGCCATGCTGAGTCACACTGTCTGAGCCCAACTTCAGATCTCAAAACCAATGGAGGCTCTCCAGGAATATGCACACCTCTAGACCCTTAGACTGAACATCTAGGAAGCTGATTTCCCTCTGGATCCAAGACGACAGCCAGGCCTAGATCAGATTGCTGGGAACACCCTCCTAGAGATCAAAGCCCCATGACCAGGTGCCTTTCCTAGGGACTCCATGGTTCCCCAGGTCCTGGGGCAAATTACTTTAAGAGCTTCGATTCCAGTCTTTGAAACAGTGCCACATTCTGAAGCGAATGAGGTGGTACCTGAAGGCTCTCCGATCCCGTTGGCGGCCACGATTGCATTAGTATGACGAGCTTCATGCGTTTCCACCACTCATTATAGGGTAATTCTGAAAATGCTTGGACCTCATCCCTGTCCTCCCCCTCCCATCCTCAGTCTGGCCATCAAGATATGTTTAGCACCCCCACAGACTCTCTCTTTGAGCCCAGATTTCTTCCAAGTACATCAGAACAGCCAGCAGCATTGTGACTAAGAGCAAGGTAACCGGGGCTATGTCAACAAGGAGACGCCCACGCTTACCAAATAGGGGAGGAAGGAAGGCAAGGGCTTTTGCTTAGACATATAAGGGCACTGGCCTCTGTCCCTCTGTCCTGACACTAGAAGTCTCGGTCTCATTCCCTCCCGTGCACACTCCCAGAATCAGCAAGTCAGAGATAAGTGGGGTGCTGGCCAAGGCCTCATGCCCCCAGCTACTCCCATCTCTATGCCCCTCTCTTGGTTTGTGTGCACATGATTGTGCCTATAATTATAGGCACGTACACGAACCTTCTAATACCGTATTTACAACACTATGTCAATGTTTGGGGTGTTATTAATATAGCTGGCGAAACCAAAAGCAGTCGTTTTCTACTTGTGGTTTCTGAAGAAATAGATCTGAAGCAATTTGTATAATCCAAGGGAGCACATGGGCTGGATATGGGCTCCATCAGGCGGACAAGCTCTCTGCCTTGTGGTTACGCCATAAATATGCATGAGGAGGGCCCACCCTATAGGAAAATCATAGGTTCCATATATTTATGGCATGTGTAATTGGATAAGGATTTGGGGATGTGCTGTACATGTGGCCTGCGTAAGTCGGCTGTGTTTTGCCAGGAGGATGCTCACAATACCCCCCACGATAGCGGAATGCCTCCCCCATAGGCAACCTCGTCACGACCTACTGGGTGGGAAGAGACAAAGAGGAGGCTGCTTGGAGGCCGAGGGAGGTTGGAAAGAGCTCCCTGGTCCCCACTTCCTGGACAAGAGTCGTTCAGCCGTAGGCCCAGGCTCTGCCTCAGCCCGGTCTGGGTCCAAACTGTAAACGGTGTGTAGCAAGGAGATAGCATAGCCATCCCCCACCACCGCCAGCACTCCTTCATCTTGTTTTTCTCCGATTTCCCCGATTCCCTGGTCTTTGGCACACCGTGTTGGTGCTGACGGGGACCCAGGAATGGAAATCAAGTTCCCACATCTCTGCCCCCAACGGCACCATCCCCTCCTCACACCCCGCGCGCGGGCTTGTGTCTGCAAACCCTCCCTCCGCACCGTGGAGCAGAACAGCCTCTGCCTTCCCCTCTGCTATGCTTCGCTCACAGGTCCTGAATTGTGCTTTCAAGCCCACCACCCAGTACTGTCCGGCCTGGCATGGCGCCCACCATCCATCCAGTGGCTGCAAAGAGGAACCCAGTGGTAGCGACCGACCCAGACGAAGCCTCTCCCCCTCTTGCCCCCGACACCCCTCCTCACCCCCCTCCCCTTCATGGCATCGAATCAAACTGCAGCAGGCTTGACAAATCTATTTGGCACGGTTCACTCAACTATTTCAACCCGAACAGCCCAGAGAGCCGCGCCGACGCCCCACGAACGGTGCAGAATCTGCACGTTAAATACAGACATCTGGGAGACGGATCTGCTAATGGGGGAGCAGCAGAGATCACCCCTGGAGGGGAGGACGGGCAGGTCTCCCTCGTCACCCACCACACCCGCGGTGGGGCAAGGGAGCATGGGGAGGGGGTGACGCCCTATTGGCAGGCTTTCCATTCTCCAGCCTCCTTCTAGGTTAGCCAGAGAATGAATTATCTAATGGGGAAGGGAAGGGGCTTTTCCTCTGCCCCAGCACTTTTTATGTGGGCAGGACGGATTCACTAAAAAACCAAACAACAACAACAAAACGAAAATGAAATTACCCCTTGGCTCCTGGGCAAAGAAATTTAGCCAAGGGTGAGAAGAGAAAGTGAGCGAGAGAAAGAATAATGCATCCAATATGAAAAAGTTGAGACTGATTCCAAAGGAGCCCAGAAAGCTAAATTCAATTCTCAGGAATAGCTTCCCTGCAGAATGAATACCAGGGATAAAGCCAGGGAGGACAGCATTCTGTCAAAATGTGCAGTGCTAAGGTATTTCCGAAAGCAGATTTCCTACAAATAGTGTTTTAAATAGCATCCCAGTCCATCTGCGTGCTTTTAAAATCAGCTTATGCTACAGTATCCCTCTGGCCAGCACTGCTTAGTCATTGCGCCTGGACAGGGAGGCTGT